TCAAAATAATGAGTTGGTTCCTTATCATATCTTCTCAAGAGACATGATATGACTTGTGTTTTTAAAGGCTGTATCTGGCTTACATACTGAGAGTAGACCACAAGTATATCAAGGGAGACTATTAGAAGAATATTGTAGAAATCAAGGAAGAGATAATATTGCCTTGGACCAGTAGAATGGCAGTGGAGTTCATGAGAAGTGAAGTCACTTGGATATATTTGAGGTATAGGTGATAAGTTTTTGATTGATTGGATGTGGAATATGAGAAAAAGAGAGTAGTCAAAAGACAATTCCAGTTTTATTTTGTTTAATCCTGCACATGAAGAATGAATTTGTTTTCAACTGAGATGGGAAGGACTATGAAAATAGTAGATTTGGGGGGAAGATCAGGAGTTCAGTTTGGACTATGTTGAGCTTCAGATAATAGTTATTAGACTTCTGAGTGACTAAGAAAATAAAAATAAAAACCACAGTTAGTCATTGTTAACATTTTGGTATAATTTTATGTGTGTGTGTGTGTGTGTGTGTGTGTGTGTGTGTGTATCTTTTTAAAAAAATATATATTTTATTGATTTTTAACAGAGAGAAAGGGAGAGATAGAGAGCTAGAAACGTCGATGAGAGAGAAACATCGACCAGCTGCCTCTTGCACACCCCCTACCGGGGATGTGCCCGCAACCAAGGTACATGCCCTTGACCGGAATCGAACCTGGGACCTTTCAGTCCGCAGACCGACGCTCTACTACTGAGCCAAACCGGCTTCGGCTATATATATATATCTTATATAACCCATTTTTACAAAATTGAATTTCTGTTGTGTGTACATTTTTAGATCCTTTTTCACAAGACAAAACCAGAACATTTTCTAGAAGTGAAATAATCTTTGAAAACCTGATTTAATGGTATTCATCTTCAGCTTTACTGTAATAATTCCAGCCATATAGATTATGTCCTCTTTTACACATGCCTTTTTGCATGTCCATTGGAGTCCTGATGCTTTAGTACAGAGGATTTGGTTTCCTGTAGTTACTGTGTATTATGATTCACACCTGTGGTTTGGCAAACGGCCTAGCTGTAAGTGTTCAATTAAGACTCATGGAAGATCCATGCTTTAAAAATGAGTGTCTTGGAGGATATTCATTTCAGTCATTCCAGACTTTGGCATTGTCCCCATTCTCCGAGGAGGAGTGCCTTCTGCTATGAATGCTACTGTGGGAAGGAAGCCTGGGCACTTACAATGGGGGAGAACCTAGATTCCCAGGTGCCTGCAGTGCTGTGCCTGGGTTGTAGATTTTGAAACATACCATCCTATCATGTTTTAAGGTCCCAGGGAGACTCGAAGATACTGGAATGGTGACTAGTTTATACCCTAGTACACTTCAGACCTTAGTGTTGGTTAATTTCTGGAAGGACCAAAGGAGTAAGAGAGATTTGATGAGCTCCCTCCAGCCTGCAGGTTGTTGTCTAAAAAAGAAAATCAGGCTCTGTGGCCAGGCTCATTTCTTTCTAATCACGGTGTCGTTTTGAACACAGAATGGCAAACTTTTTCTGTAAAGGGTCAGATATTTTTGGCTTTATAGGCCGCATGATTTCTGTAGTAACTGTTCAGCTCTGAGGTTGTAGAACAAAAGCAACCATAGACAGTGCAGAAACAAATGGGTGAGGCTGTGTTCCTATAAATCTTAATTTATAAATCAGGCTGCAGATCAGATTTGAGCCATAGTTTCCCAATCTCTGCATTTGAACAAACTTTTTGAAACTGTGTCTCCACCTGCTAGTGGTCATTATCTCTAGTCTCTGAGCATCAGTTTTCTTAGATCACAAAGTGAGATCACACAGGCCCAACTTCCAGGTCTGTATTATCCCAACTATGCCCTGCTTCCTCTTAGAAAAAGCCAAACTAAATAACTAGAACCCATGTGAAGAGAGGAAAGGTGAGCCCAAAGAGTTGATTTGGAACTCAGCTCTTAAGAATAGAAAGTTTGACCCAGCCAGTGTATATGTATAGTTCATCTGTATGATCTTACCATTGTGGCAAACCAACTTGCTTACTCTACTCAGGGCAAAAGGCCAAGGTTTTCAGGGAGGCATAGGATGTAATAATTAAGATCATCAATAACAAGGCAATAGAGAAACTGGTGAGGTGGTGGGGACTTTGGAGTCAGACAGATATGGATTCCAATTCTAACTTCATTATTTCTAGATTCTGTGATTCTGGGTAACTCACTGTCTCTGGGTCTCAGTTTACATATTTGAAAACTGAGGACTGATAATATCTTTCTCTTAAGGTGGTTTTAAGGTTTAAATGAGATATCATATGCAAAGCACCTGACATAGAATGAACAGAAAATGTTTTTCTTTGTTTACTATAATCCTTTTTTTATGCTGGAGATGTTTATTTCTGCAGACATGGCTCTCATTCTCTAACATTCCTAACACTTCCACAGTAAATATCATGCAGCTTGCACCTGAATATTCTCTAGTTATTTCATCTTGTGTCAGTTGATCTCCTTATAAACCTATGATCCTTGACTTCTCTTGAACATGCTTGTACAAACTAAATTTGTAGAGTTTTTATTCCATGAAAAGTTTTTTTTGTTTGTTATGTATTTAATAAACATTTTTTGAGTACCTATTTTATGTTCATGTGCTAGTGCTGGTGATAGAGAGATCAATAAGAGATGCAATCATGGAATTTCCTTATATTCTGGTGGAATGTTAGGTAGTTGGGCCTGAAAGCCAACTATTTAAATGCAGGGAAATTATGAGGCTTTTGTAGTAATCCAGGCATAAGTCTGACCAGAAATCAAAGCAGCAACCCTTTGGTGGATGGGACTACACCCAACCAACTGAGCCAAACTGGCCTGGACCAGGATGTTCTCCATGAAGATAAAGAAAGTCAAGTAAATGCCCTGGCTCAGTTGATTGAAGAGTTGTCTTGTACACCAAAAGGTGATGAGTTCAATTACTGGTCAGGCCATTTCGGGGAGGCAACTGATTGATGTTTCTCTCTCACATCGATAATATCTCCCTCCCTCTTTCCCTCCCTCCCTCCCTTCCTCCCTCCCTCCTCTCTCCCTCCCTCCCTCCCTCCCTCCCTCTCTCACCTTCTCCCACTTCCTCTCTCGAAAAAAGAAAAAAGAGAGAGAAAAGAAAGTCAAGCAAGGACCATTAGAGGTGAACCCATCCGGGGGAAATGTGTAGCGTGAAGAGAGCTGTGGGTTAAGTGGAGTCCTGGAGAAGTTTTTAAGTGAGGAAAAAAGAATTTGTTATTGAGGCAGGAAAAAACCTGGAGCTAGTGGCCTCACAGAATCCCAGAGAAGAAGAATTTTATTTTCTCTTGTCTGTTTTTTTAGGCAGGGAGCCCCTTTGAGGGATTCCTCATCAGATTATCTGTAGTGAGAGGCCACATACTTAAAGAAAAAGTGTTGTTACCTTTGTTTGAATACCATGTTTGAATGACTTAGGTATTATGATATACTAGTTTAACTCTTTTAAGCATATTTGTTTTATAGTCATTTGGCCAAAATCTGCTAATTTAGAACCAATTTGTATCTAGATGTAATATTATATTATATTATATTATATTATATTATTTATATTATATTATATTATATTTTTCCTTAGATTATGTGTTGTTTAGTAAAATACAGTGAATATAGTCAATACAAGTTTAAAGTAGGTTTCTAGGTTAAGAGGTAGAACACATTTATTTTGTAACTAGAGGCTTGGTGAATGAAATTTGTGCATGGGGGGGGGCCCTTAACCCAGCCTGCACCCTTTCCAATCTGGGTCACCTCAAGGGATGTCCGATTGCCTTTTAGGCCCAATCCTGCTTGCCTGACCCCCTCTCCCCACCAGCCTGATCATCCCTAAACCACCTCTGCCTGCCAGCCTGATCGCCCCCAATTGCCCCCCCTGCTGGGCTGGTTGCCCCTCACTCCCGCCCCTGCCAGCCTGTTAGCCCCTTACAGCCCCCCCCCCCCCTGCTGGCCTGGTTGCCTCTAACTTACCCCCTCTGCCAGCCTGGTCACCCCTAACAGATCCTCTGCCCCCCTGGTCACCCCTTACTGCTCCCCCTGCCAGTCTGGTTGCCCCCAACTGTCCCCCTCTGCCAGCCTGGTCACCCCTAACTGCCTCCTCTTCCAGCCTGATTGCCCCACACAGCCTGCTGTTCAGTCATTTGGTTGGCCCTCACTAAACCCCCCTACTTGTAAAAGAGAATGTGTGCTATATTTACCAAGTGCATTTGGTTGTTTCAGTCATGACGGCCCCTGGCTTTTTATATATTAGGACAGTGGTCAGCAAACCCACTAGTCAACAAAGCGGCAAACCACGGCTTGCAAGCTGCATTGTGGCTCGCGAGCTGCAGTTTGCTGACCATTGTATTAGGGATATTAAAAGTCAGAAACAGCACCTCTTTTTCTTCCTTAGAAAGTAGAGTTCGTCAGGAAGTCGACAGAAAAATAGAACAAATGAATATTATGCATTCTTAGTGGATCGTGGTTCTCTCCAGTGTTTTATTATGAAAATTTTCAAATGTACAAAGAATGGAAAGAATTATACCCACTATCTTATATAATTAAGATTTTACATTTATAGAATCAAGATTTTGCTGTATTTGCTTTATCACATATGTCAATCTAGTCATTCATTAGTCCCATCTTTTTTCTTTTTGGTGCATTTCAAGTAAGTCAACTAGCTGTTTTTCTAAGCAGTTGTATTTTTTCCTGAACATTGTAATTAAAATGTCAGCACATTTTGTGCAGATGGTATAAGCTCATCCTTTTTCCTATTTCTAGAAATCTGAGGTTGCCAATAATTGCTGTCAAATTTAGAATATTAAACAATTTCTGGTAAATACTGATAAGCCTAATCAGTGCCTACATTATAATGGAGACACTTAAAATTTTTAAAGTTATCAAAAATAATTTTCAGTGGTCTTTAAACACTATTTTTTGTATTTTAAATAAATATTTATTCACATTCTATTGTTTCCAGAGTGGAGAGATCAACAGATCAAGTCATCAAGCCAGTCAATGTGGCGGCTTTAACAAAATGGGTTGGGAAAATACCTCCAGATGTTTTACAAGACATGGCAGTGATTGCACCCATGCTTTCCAAACTTGGCTACGACCCATATGCCAATCCACCCAACTATGGAAAACCTGATCCCAAAATCCTTGAAAACACTAGAAGGGTAAGTGAAATTTTTAAAGTGAATTGAGAAAACTGAATATGGAATTTGAATCCTGAAAATTTTTTTTTCTTGTTTCTTTTTATGATTAGAAAATTATTTTAAAGTAGGAAAATTCTATTTGTAGAATGCTTTATTATCATATGTCTTCCACTGCATTTTAAGGAAAACTGTGGCTCTTCCCAGGAACTATGGGGACAATTTTTAAATATATTTTGCACAATTTCCAGGATGGTGCTTACTATTGGGGAGATTTTTACTCTATTTACCACAAATTTGCATAAATATCAGAATTACTAGCAACCTCACTTAATTCTAGTTTCTTTTTTCTTTTAATGTAATGACTACTTTACTTTTCAACCTTTGTTTAGATGAGGCATGATTTCTTGAAACTTAAAAACTGAACATAGGCTACATTAGAATAAGTATTAAACATGCAATAAATTACCCTATGATTGAGAAAAAGTTGCTGTTAAAGTATAATTATAAATTTTCCTATTAATAAATTATGCTCACATCTTTATGAAATGTTGTTTCAGAAAAGCTAAAAACTCAATAGCTAATCTGAATATATACTTTACCAGTTGAATCTACTTCAAATCAGACCTTAATGTATTCATTTTTTAAATTGTGGAAAAATACACATAATGAAAGGATTCTCAGACCAAATTCCATCTGTGTGTACAGGCTTCCCCACACCACCAAGCAATTCCCTGACGCCAGCAGGGTGTCCAAGAATGCAAACTACACTCTGGCACCACTTACCCAGAGACAGAATCAGTTTCCACAGGGAAAGGGCTCATTCCCACAAGACCACCCTCCACTTCAGATACCAGGTTCTGAACAGCTACAAATCAGAGGTTCCCATGACCCTCCTCCTTGGGTTTAATTAATTTGGTAGAATGACTCACAAAACTCAAGAAAACCCATTTACTCACTTAAATTATAGATTTATTACTAAGGACATTCATTACAGGATAGGAATCAATAGTGAGACGAAGAGGTACGTGGTGGGGAGGTCCCAAATATAGGAGCTTCTAGCCTCATGGGGCTGCTATTCAGCATATGGTAGCATTCTGGTTCCTGTAGATGGAAGCTCTCCAAAAAGGGTTTAAGGGCTGTCCTTTCGGGTTCTTTTAAAGGTGTCATTACATAGTCATGATTGACTAAGTCTTTGACCACTGTCCATTGATTGAGCCTCAAGCCTTTCTCCCCTCCTTGGGAACCGGGATGGGACTGAATGTTCTAAACCTCAAACCACATGGTTGGTTTCCAGTGGCAACCAGCCTCTGCCCTGGAGTTGTTTCCAAAAGTCACCTCATTAACATAACAAGAGACACCATTGTTGCTCTCATCACTTCATATATTACAAGAAGTTGGAGAGCTGTGAGCCAGGAACTGTGGATGAAAATCAAATATATCTGAAAAATATATTTTTGTCATCTGAACGACCAAATATTGTTACAGAATTTACAGGGCGACCAAAAAATATGCAGGAGTACCAGAGACACAGGAAAAACCCATTTATTTTCAGATGTTTCACATGTACCGGCACAGTGACTCAGGGGAGACTCTCTCCAAATTCTGAGCAAGCCAATATGGAGGAAGCGTTCCCTTTGTACCCTTCGGTTTCTTTGTCCCCCAAATATGGGATGGGACTTCCAGACCTTTCTTGGGCTTTGCAAAAAGCCCCGCGTGTTGGAATAGAGGCCATGAGACCACACCCAAAGGCCTGGCCTGGTGCCAGCGCTGATAACCCCTCTGGGGATTGTTCATGGCTTATGGCCTCTGTAAAATGGGAGTAGTACTTAGGTAAACCAGTCTTGGAAGACCAGATTGTGGAGAAAGTGGCAGTGACTTAATTATAGGCTATCAAGAATGTACATTAGTTTTCTGGCCCAGATTCAGATTGTTAGCCCCCCTCCCCCCAACAATGTCTCATTTTCCCCATCAATATATATTATAAACCAAAATGTTGTACAGAGCATAAAATTTACCACTTAACATTATAAATGTTTAGCTCAGTTGCATTAATACATTTGCATTGTTTTCTTGTGTTGTTGTTTTTTTGTTTTGTTTTTTTAAATATATTTTATTGATTTTTTTACAGAGAGGAAGGGAGAGAGATAGAGAGCTAGAAACGTCGATGAGAGAGAAACATCGACCAGCTGCCTCTTGCACACCCCCTACTGGGGTTATGCCCGCAACCAATGTACATGCCCTTGACTGGAATCGAACCTGGGACCTTTCAGTCCGCAGACCAATGCCCTACCACTGAGCCAAACCGGCTTCAGCTGTTGTTGTTGTTTTTAAAAATATATATATATATTTTATTGATTTTTTTACAGAGAGGAAGGGAGAGGGATAGAGAGCCAGAATCATCGATGAGAGAGAAACATCGACCAGCTGCCTCCTGCACCTCCCTAACCCCCCCCAGCCCCCACCGGGGATGTGCCCACAACCCAGTGTACATGCCCTTGACTGGAATCCAACCTGGGACCCTTCAGTCCGCAGGCTGACGCTCTATTCACTGAGCCAAACCAGCTTCGGCTATTTGTTTTTTTTTAATCTTCCCTTCCCACCACCCCTATTTCTTTGCTATTTTGCAAGAACTAGTCTTATTAGGAGCCTGGTGGCTTTGCAGCCTGGCAATTGTGTTTACAGGGTTCAAATGAGTTTTTCTACCTTTTTTCCTTTCTTCTTTTCTTCCTTTCTTTTCTTTCTTTCCTTTCTTTCTTTCTTTACACGAGGGTCCTAAAACATCTGGGTAGTCCTTAAATCTGGGGCTAGGGATGAGAGTGTGAGCTTGGAGAAGGCGGTTTTCTTTTCGCTTTCTATGAAATCAGTTCATGCAAACCTTGGTGTGGGAGGGCAGAGAGTTTGGAATCCATTAGAAATGGCCCTGGAGAGAGACCAGCTGCTGATTTGGGCCTGGGAATAGGAATGACTGCCCTTCACAGAACCACAGTCAAATCCCCTCTGGACAAGGCTCAGAATTGATGCCCCGTTGACCTCTTCTGGCTTCTCAGATACAGAGCCAGCTAGGCCTTGGGCCCTCTTCCCGTTGCCCCAGGAAACCTCCCAACCTCTTCTAGCCACTCACCTCCCACATTGGGGTGTTACTTTGGTGGAAAGTTTGCACTATGCCCCAAGCTCCAGTACAAAAAGGTTTTGGACAGCCTGGCAATTCAATGGGAGCTGCAGTTGGAAGCCAGAATTGCTTGGGATCGCAAAGATGGTCACCCAACCCCGTTCATTTGCCACCTAGATATAGCGAGCTCAGTAAAGCGCAGGGGATTGCCAAAGGTCAGGCAGCAAGCCGCTGGTGGGGCACGGATCACGGCAGCCCCCGTGGTGGGGGAGGCATCAGGGGCTTTTTGTCTCTGCTCTGGGAACTCCCAGCCCTGAAAGACTGTTAGACCAGGTAGGCCTCTGCCCCAGTGACTGACAAGTTGGTGTCAGGGGCGTTGCTGAAAAATCAGGCCTGACCCAGGGAACTGTCCACGGCCACACTCCAACCTCTGGGAAGTGGGACCTGGGAGGCGACTCTGAAAAGCATCCATTTGCATTGTGCAACTATCCCTGCCACCCATCTTCAGAACTTTTTTCGTCTTTCCAAACTGAAACTACATACTCATTACCTATTCTCCCTCCCTCCAGCCCCTTGCAATCACAGTTCTATTTTCAGTCTCTAGATGTATTTGAAACTATAATTTAAATAAGAAAACTATGTTAGCATAAGTTCACTAATAAATTATTTGATTTCAAGATTAAACTTTCTGGCCTTTTTCTGGCATTCTTTTGTTTATGTCAATGATATCCCCTCCCCACAACCTTATAACATACTCTATTTAGTCTCTCTTTCTTTTGGTAAAAGAACTGTTAATTTTATATATATCCTATATAATAAAGATGTAATATGCAAATGATTGTTATACCATGAAGTGTAATGACTAACCGTGTAACTACTGGATCACGGATCAGCAGGAGGTTGGGGGGCAGCCAGCTACAAGTGGGCAGCAGAGAGCTACAGGAGGGGGCAGGGCAGCAAGCTATGAGGGAGGGTCGGGGGGGGCGGAAGGAGCTACAGGAGGGGGGGCAGCAGGCGGAGAGCTACTGTAGGGCAGCAGTAAGCTACTGGTGCACAGATTTATGCACAGGGATACTAGTGTGTATATATATACATATATATATATATATATATAATTTTTAAAAAATATTTTTATTGATTTCAGAGAAGAAGGAAGAGGGAGAGAGAAACAGTGACAAAAGAAAAAAAAGAAAAGAAACATCAATGATGAGAGAAAATCATTGATCAGCTGCCTCCTGTGCACCCCCTACTGGGGATTAGACTGGCCACTTGGGCATGTGCCCTGACCAGGACTCAAATCATGACTTCTTGGTTTATAAGTCAATGCTCAACCACTGAGCAACACCAGCTGGGCACAAATTTATATCTTATGAGGTTAGTTTCCAATGTGAATTTTTTTCTCTTAAGTATTATTTTCATTTTTCTTTTTCAGTTCATCAGTGAATATGTAGGAAGAGCTATCTTCTTATAACTCATCATATATAAAGACAAATTTTTTATTTGTAGAATAATCTTTGTTTTTTTAATATACTTTTCATATATATGAACATTTTACTATCCTATCTAATAAAAGAGTAATATGCAAATTGACCATCATTCCAACACACAACATGGCTGCCTCCATGTGATCAAAGATAGCTGCCCCCATGTGGACACAAGATGGCCGCCACAAGATGGCTGGCAGGGGAGGGCAGTTGTGGGCCATCAGGCCTGCAGGGGAGGGAAGTTAGGAATGACCTGGCTGGCAGAGGAGAACAGTTAGGAGCAATCAGGCTGACAGGGAAGCAGTTAGGCATCAATCAGGCTGGCAGGGGAGTGGTTAGGGGGTGATCAGGCAGAAGTGGTTAGGGGCAATCAGGAAGGCAGGCAGGTGAGCAGTTGGGAGCCAGCAGTCCTGGATTGTGAGAGAAAT